ACTGTTTACATCTGTATTATTTTATTAATTTAATTAAAAAGGTGAAATTATAATAACTAAGTTTTGAAATTATAACACTGCATGATTTTGTTATTAAATAGAATAATTTATTTTCAGTCATCACAATGTAATCAAATCTTTCTGAGTTCACCAAAAGAATTGTAAAATATGTGCATGGAGTAGACAGTAAATACAAAATGTTAAACATAGTATTGGCAAGCAATGAATGACATTTGAAATGTGAAATTCTGTCAAATATTACATTAAATTACTTGTTTTGATATTATATACTGATATTGTGAGGTCAACTGCAGTAAACTCACCAGTGCTGCTCTCCAATTTCTCCAATTTCAGGAGATAATATTAAATAAGAAAAAAATGTAATGGTGAAATGCAATGCTTTGGTTGTTAACGTTATACATTAACAAGTAAGACAGCTGACATGAATTTCTACACAAGTAGAAATTAAAACCCTTCCTAAACAGCAAAATCCGCTAGCGCACTCCAAGTACAATGCTGGAAGATCAGGAATAAAAACAAGTTGAAAGAATGAAAAGAAAGTTAAAAATCAACAAGAATACCTGCAGCCTTGAGAGGCTTGTGGAGAAAAGTAAAATCAAAAGTTTGAGGGAGATTGGATTGCAATTTGAGAGCCTTCACACTCAAAAATATTCAGGTAGTTCCTGTCATGTTTCACTTGATAAAAAACTGACAGAAGGGAAACTGAGTGATTTTAATGAACAATAATAATAAAGGAGGAAACATCAGCAGGAAAACAGAAAAATCCTTCAGGAAATTACAGAGACAGAAAGGATTTGATGCTGAGGAGAGTGACTGCTAAGAAGCAGGCGGTTGATTATAAAATGGGAGCAGCTGCGAGAGAAGGCCAGTCAACTCAGAGAAAATGAAAAATAAACACAAATCACCAGGGACTCAAAGGGAACCAAAGAGGAAAAACCTAACAAATAATCACAGAGAAAATAAACTACGAATATACAAGAAACAGACAACAAAAATAACTTACATAAATCGATGAACATATATGGCAAGACCTTTCAAACATTAATAAATCCCGCAAACTGAATAGAATTTGGCAGAACCTAAGGAGAGATAAACAAGCAACAAAGAAAATATTAAAATGCAAATGCAGAAGAAAGTCAAATATCTTACCTGGACTAAGAAAACTTGAAATGTCACCTTCAAAATAAGTTTATCAAGTGTTAAAGCTTGTATTTGTTAGCATATCCCTCACATTTATACTGTTTAGTTACATCAAATGAATGGGGGGTTAGCATTTAGCAGAGCATTTACAGAGACAGAGTGACATTAGTGGCATTTAGTGCAAACTAGATACAATTCACACACTTGTACTGTGGACACATGTAACTGAAGGCCACACGGATCACACAGACGGTTTTTTATCAGTTCATGCACAGCCGTGTTTGTTTATTTAACTGGATGAAAAATATGAGCAACAGAGAATGTAAAAAAATAAGTATTTAGTCTGAATATTTACTGTCAATTTCACATGAAACCCTAACGAGCTGAAGCTCATGGTTTGTGTTTGTATAATAATAATCCTGGTCACGATTCACATGCAATTACAGGAGAAACATGTTCTAATACTTTCATAATCCACTTTACTGTTCCTTCGCGGTTATTTTCTTTTATAGCCTAACTCTATTTCAAGATTGAAATTAGAGTTATGGTTAATGAAATAAATCCATCTGAATTACACACTTAGCATCAGCGTGTTAGAGGGATAACAAAGCAATAAAGACAGTATCTGTCATATCATATTTAATATTGATTCCACCATTTGAAGACCAGCAGGGTGTCATTTTCTCTCCTGCTTTATTGCTTTTGAGAAAAAGTAGACTGATGGGCTACTTTGTCTTCATCTTCATCTTTGTGATTTTTGCTTCTGCTGAGCTTAAAGCATTAATAAGAGCTGCTGCACGTCAATATTTAACTGGGATTGTATTGCACATTAATGTGAAGAGGATGTAAAAATGATGCATAAATAAGAAAATTGTGGCTTGTTGTCAGCCCCTGTGCTCTGATACCCCTAAATACAATCCAGTGCAACCACATGTCTTTAAAAGTCAATAATTAATTTACACTAGTGCGTAGATTATTCTCAACATGAAAACATTTCAGCAAAAAGTGAGTTCAATAAAAACATAGTCACCAGTTATGAAAAAAAGCAATAAATATTACATTTTGTCTAAATTGATCAATTTTCCATTTATTACTAATCAAGATAAACTAAACAGGTGGATGAAAATGTGGAAGAACATTTTTTAGATTAAACTAAAAATTACAAATTTCTCAGTTTCAAAAGTCAAAACTGAGAAAAAAATTTTCTCTAGAAATTTCTGAGATTAATCTAAAAATTTCTGAGTTTTTCACTTTGAAATGTTCGTCTTCTTTTTTTTAATATAAGATTTCTGAGATTATTTTTTAAAATTGGTGAGCTTTTGGTGAAAGTTTATTCCTTTTCTTATATTTACTCTTGTAAAATTCTGTATGTTCAAATAAAATGTGGAAATACTTGGCAGTTATTTGTGACCAGAGTGCACTAAAATCTCCAGCAATAATTTGAAGCCCAATTATTATAAAAATCTGCTGGAAGTGGTTTTTAAAGTGATTTTCAGAAATGTTTCCCATTGTGTTGCTGCATCACTCATGACTTTCTCTAAAACTGATTAAAAGAATAATGAGCTTAAGCTCAGCAATTATTTCCGCCACGCATGTTCTTCTGATAATCACCATAATTCTGACCAGTTTCACAGGAAAGAGGTGAGAAAGAAAAGCTGTTCAGGTTTGCGAAGCAGCACGAATTCAGACTGCCACTTTTCAGGGAAGTCACTCCATAGTTTCAGGAAATGCAGGCAAACTCACTGTATGTGTTTTCCCCGAGGCAAATATACACAAAAACTAACCAGGAATAAAATAACCTGTTTCTTGTCATGTAAAAGTTTAGAAGATGATTATTGTTACCGTTTGATTCAGTTTTGCGATTTGCGACTGTATCCATCAGAGGTCAGGGGTCGTCAGAGTCCCACCTGTAAGGCTTAATCCTTTAACAAAACTCAAATATTTAGTAATCTGTATAGAAATATGTTTTTATCTCATGTCATGTTATCATTCTAAATGCATATAATTTTTTTGTGTTTTCTTACATTCTGGAGTGGAAAGCTACACTTTACTCCCCAGCTTTGTTTTGTTTACTAATTAAAACTAAAACAAAATACCATTGGAGCATAGACGTTGGTAGTAACTAGTAACTTGTACTCAGTTACATTTACTTAAGTTTTTGCAAAAAATATACTTTTAGGTCTATCTTTACTTCATATATATTTTTACTTTTAAGTTCTAATATAAAGTATCCCACAGTGAGAAACTTAATTAAAGAAGAACAGATATGTTTTAACCAAAAATGCACCAGATATAAACACAAACTGTTTAATAAATGCTTTATAAATAAACTTAGATTGCACTGTAAACTTACAGTATAATGTAAGTTTACAGTACATTGTACTGTAGGTTTACAGTACAATACTTTGCTTCAATACATTGAAGCAAAGCTAGTTTTTGCACTTGCTTTGCTTCAATGTATTTTTTATTTTCTGAGTTTTTTGTGCCATTTGGAGATCAAGTGAATTAAATAAACACTACATATTGTCACAGAAAATACTTGTTTATTTTTTCTTTTGTTTTAGTCTTTAAAATACCAGAATTTGTGCAGGACATTACTTTTAAATCACCACTTACTAAGTACTTAAGTAACCTTTTTAGAAAATACTTGTTTTTCTTCTTGGATTTTACTTTACATTTGCTTGAGTAATAATATTTTGAAATAATATTTTCACTTGAATATAATTTTTGGGTACTTTAACTGCCATTGTTGGAGAGCATCTTTAATAAAATAGAGCAGAGAAAATGGGAACAAAAAAGGTGTAAACAAGTCTCATATTTAATTTTTGCTGTGTTATGTGTTGATACATCACTAGCTTATCCATTAAGTTTGGGAGGTTCTTTGTGTCAGTGATTTATACTATAGGTTACTGACTGCAGTCAGTGGCTCCAGAGGCAAAAGAAATTCCTCAAAATTCAGAAAACTGTTGAGCAGGACCGCTTTTAAATGGCTTTAAAAAACATGGCTTCTTGGAAACACTTGGAATATAATATCACGTTAACATCAGAGTAAAAGTTAAAATATAAAAAATTCATAAAATGCCTCCTGACCTTTCATAAATTTGACCAATCCAAATCAAGACACGTAAGAAACTACTGAATTTTATTCTTGAATTTCAAATTAATTCAAATTAAAAAGGAGTAAAAAATCTAATTTTTTCTACTTCAAAGCACAGACGTTACTTTTTAGTGATATTTCTCAATGGAAGGTCATCTTTTGTATGTTTGCAGACATGGATGGACATATGACAGAGTGGAGCAGAAATGAGGGTTTTCTCCTTACTCACATGGATGGGAAAGTCAAAATATGCTGCATCAAAAACAAAATAAAAATGTAATAAAACCAATAACAATAATAAGTTTGTCATTAGAAAATAAAATGAAATAAATGTATCTAAATGAATTTGTCACAAAATTGATTTTGTGACAAAACGTCAGATTGTCTCCAAAATTTACCATATTATTATTAGTGCTACTTGTTTTTGACCCATAATTACTATATTTTGCATTTTGATATTCGCACTTGACAAAATGTGATGTTTGCTACTATTGGTGACTGTATGATGATGTTTTTGTTACTTTTTATTTTCGTGTTTTTATGATGTAAAACTCTTTGAACTGCCTTCTTGGTGAAATGTTCTATACAAATAAACTTTATTATGATTATCATTATCATTATTATTATTGTCAAAAGTTTTTGTCTGGAGGTGGAAGAATTCAAAATATTCAGCAGATTTAAAAGGAAGGAAAAACGTTTTAATTGTCAGTTACATCAGAGTCAAACCGATAAACTAATTTACATTTTTTAAGGGTTCCTGTCTGGCAACATTGCAACAGTCAGCAGGTAAAACACACCTTCTTCTGCGGTCGCGATGCGTTCAAAGCCGTCCGTCTTTTCTCGGCGGACTGAAACAGGTGGGCTATCATATCTGAATGATTGAGAAACGATATTATTTTCATATCGAATATACATTTAACATCTAACATAAATTAAGTGACAGCATCAAAAGTGAAAGCGCGTGTTTGGAGCTCTTTGGAAAACCTGGCGAAGTGACGAATCTCGCCGTGTTTGCCATCTCCGCCGGCTCTCAGGTGGGCAGGTCATGCGCCAGCAGCTCCTCCCTTCCCGGTGATTCACCTCTCCGGCTCCTCATAAGCGGTCATACCTGAGTCGTGTGTCTCAGAGGGGGCTGCAAGGTGAGAGAGAGCAGGTCCTCCGCTGCGATGTAACATCTGGATAAAGATCGTCCACAGTCCAGCGAGGCGGTGAGTCCCTCCTCTGAAATGTTTAAATACATCAGAGAAACTGCTATTTAAATGTTTGTGATGATCAAGCGCATTTTTAATAGTTATGTAATCAGCCGTTTTTCAATAATTTGGAATGTTTTTCTGTAAAAAGGGCGTGCGCGTGAGTGTGGACGCGTGCGCAGGCTCTGTAATCCAACACCATGCAGTGACATGCATCACACGGGTTACTATAACTGAGTGTCCTGCAATCATGAACTTTGTCAGATTAAATTCTGATTTTAAAATAATGCTTCTGCCATCATATTGATATTTAATAAAGATTATTTAAAGGAAGTAATGTGTGTTATTACGGATTTTGTAAGCATATTTTCTGACCAAGAAGCAGAATATAGTAACCATATGTGAAAGGCTGCTGTGTTGAAGTGAGGTTAATAAAAAGAGCAGCATGGAAAAACCGTTTCCTTGGTGACCATTTCTCCAAGTATATTTTTAGTATGTGCTTTTCAACGTCAAATATAATTATTATAATTTACTCCGTCTGTTCAGAACATCACTAAATAATTATTATCCTTTTTTTTCCCCAATTAGACTAAATTGTTTCCGGTTTAAAGCTGAAACAATAAAAGCAGTGAGAGTTTAACAGTCGGTTTTAGTTTTGACATGCAGTTTGTTTCGTCTGCTCCCAGAGTTGGAAAATAAGGAAATAGAGCTTCATGCAGGGCCCGCCTAACGCACCAGGAAGCGATCCTGTTGAAACTTGCCAGAGCAGGTGTAGTTACACAAAACCCAAGTTTGTTGTCGCTGTGTTTGTGGCACAGAAAGAAAAAAACCAAACAAAAAAATGTTCAGAAAGCTACAGGCACACACATCATTGCACATACACTTTATATTTCTATTGAAGGAGATAAATTACACCTTTACAGGTTGTCAGGCTGTGAAAAAGCCTGACAACCTGTTCTTTTGTATTCCCTTTGAGTCAGAGAATTTCCAGTAAGTGTAGAAACATGTGGAACAAGCAGCAGAGCAGTCACTTTCACATGAATTTGCAGTTTGAATGTCAGCAATTCAGAGCCCACATTGTCTGTGTCTTTATCTGGACCTGCAACATCGAAATGAACTTGAACTCCTTGGAATAGGGAAGTACATAATGTTATCTCAAGTGAATCTGTGTTTGTCAGACATGCTAATCAAGAAACTACAGAGTATAGCAATTACCCCTATAGAGCAACGGGATGATTCAATTTCACTTAAAATTGCAACACTGCCGTTTTTGCATTCAATTCGACAAAACTAAATTTGTCCAATGCCACTAAAACAAAGTGGCTCTTTGAAACAAAATAATAACAAACAATTTAATTTTATACATTTCCTTGTAAAAAATTGATTAATTGCTGGGTTAGCAGAGAATCTAAAATAATTTAATTCTCTTTTTATTGTCTGGTGATCAGAAAAGACAGACTGAGATCTAACAGGGTGGCCAATCATTTTCAAACAGAATCTATGAATTATTGTCATTTATACCAACATTTCCACTTAACTTCACATTTTGCCTGGTCTTTTTTTTATATTATGTATATTAATCAGTTGGTCAGTTCTTGAGTAAACTTTTTACCAAATACTTTTTTACTTGAGTAATCTCCTGGATGGCGACTTTTTACTTTTATTTTAGTAAAAATATATTGAAGTAGTGCTACTTTTATTTGAGTACAATTTCTGTGTACTCTGTCCACTTCTGATTGTAAAATACACCGTAACCCTCTTTCAGCCAGCTGACTGGGCAGTGTGCAGCAGCACTTCCCTGCTTTCATTTCTCTAGCACTTTCATTCACATCTTATTTAAAGCACAACGGGAAATATGACTGAACATTTTGTAGTTTTGTCTTCAGTTAGCGGTCAATGCCTCTACCTTTACTTTTTTCAAGCTTCCTGTAATCCCGTCACATCTCAACTCTTCAGTTTGAATATCATGTTTCATTATTGTGTGAATTAAATGTGATGTTTTCCCTGAATGTCTCTGTGTGTCAGGTGTAAACAAGACAAGCAGCTGAGCCCGGTGTTTACAGTACTTTATTGAGGACATGCTGCTGGTTTCTCTTGGCTGTGTCGGTGTGTGATGCCAGGATGAGGAGGACGCCACTCGGTTTGGTTATGCTCTGTGTGCTGTCAGCAGCCAGAGTTTGCGGCAGTAAGTTAACATTTGATATTAATTTTGTCAGAAAGCTGTTGAAAGTGGTTGTTTTATTTTTATTTTTGAAATAAAGGCAGAATCTAAATACAAGTAGTTATATTTCTTGTTGTACATCTATCCTTTGTGAACCGAGGTTCAGTTTTTCCATCAAAGCAAGTGTTTTTTTTCACTCTGTATTCACAATCCATTGTAAGTGACTGAAGGACATTTTATCTGTTTTGATTTTGCAATTCAAAGCTCTTACAGTCAAGTTTCTTTCCATAAAACCATAGATCACAAAAGATCAGAAAGATAAGAAGTGTGCTCTGACTGCATGAACTAGAAACTTTTAAAAGTAATTAAATCTCAACATTTTTTCAAATCTGTTTCAGAGAGAATTGAAAAAGATGGGTTGAATAGCCTCCAATTGAAGCATGTGTTTTAATTTTATGGGGATTATTTCAGGGCTTCCTTGAAATTTATCTCTGTGTGACTTTCACACTTCCTCTCTCCCACTCAGGACAATGGCGCTGTGTTGCGACATAGTGTCATATTGTACCAATTATTGCTCTTCTCCCTTATCTTTACATCTCTCTGTAGCTCACAAATCTCTTTACAGCTTGTCTACTTTAGATTTTACAACAAACACTCTAGCAGAGATGCTTGTTGCTGCAAAATTATCAGTTTCTCTGATTTTACTTTTTATATGTATTGTATTTTTTGGACTATAAGCTGCTATGTTTTTGAATCATGCGGCTTGTAGCCCAGTGTGCCTTTTCTGTGGATTTTTCTTCAACCACCACGGAGCTCTTTAGCAGGAAGTGAATCATTGAAAGTCAAAATTGCATATCAAAGAACTCACACCCCCTCATCAAGAAAACAACAAGAAGAGGTTCATATGATGCAGCTTTTCAGTAGGAATGGCATGAAGGAATCCATGGTTGGAGACGTAGGGTTGCATCCTTAATAGCAGATTTATTAGGGATGTAGCTCTCTGCTGTGTTGAAGGCTAAGTTATATAGCAATCAAAATAGGCTATTTTTTTTTTAATTAGACATTCCTTTTCAAGTGTGCTTATCTTATATTTATTAGGGTTTACTTTTTCATTGAAGAAGATGACTCTGCATGCTTCTCTATAACATAAACTTCTTCTGGGGTGCCAGCATTTTTCAAGAAGGGCTATGGGCCCCCCTAACTCTCCCTTTGGGGTCACCACTGACAGAGAAGCAATCTAACACTTCCTCGCTCTGTATCTGACCATACAATAAGCCCAAATGATATGTTACATCATGGATTGCCATACAAAACAACTGAAGCTTTTTCAGCATCTGATTCTATGATTTGAGTGTTATAAATCTAGCGCTCTGTGGCTCCAGTCACTGATCTGAGCTGCTATAATCCTGGATGTAGGGCTTGGATTTAGTGCCTTTTACATAAAATATTCTCCTGCTTGTTGGATTTTACAGAATTTATGGACTTCTGTGAAGACAGATCCATCAGAGAAACATCAAAATAGAACTACTTTGAAATCCAAGACTCCGTAGCAACCCAGACTAAAAGGAGGTGAAAAAGTTACAACTCCACAGTGTTAAAGATCAGCTAATTAAAATAAATCACTCAGCGGAAAAGTGAACAGGTCCTTTTCTAGTTAGCAGTTAAAAATGACTACTCACAGTTTCGGTTTTGGATTACTTTTCAGATTTTTTGTCAATTTGAAAAAAAAAATTAATTTTTGGCTATTTTTCAGTTGAAACTGGAACTAAAACTTACCCTTTTCCAGCTAAAATTACTGTATCTGTTTGCAATGCAGCAATACTGCTCTAGAATTATTCAGATTTTTTTATACATTATTTTATTTCATTTTAATTCAGATAACTTACAAGTTTTGTGGTATAATTCATTTTTTAAATTGTTTTTATTTTATAACAGATTTCTTTATTCTGTACTTTGTATTTTACCTTTTCGTCTTTGCATTTCTTACTTTATAACACTTGAGTTTTTTATTTCATTTTTAAATTTTTTTGTATGGCAGTGTATTGGAAAATAAAAAAAAACTCAAATTGCGTGAGTAAAGTGATAATATTACGACTTTATTCTCATTATTAGTCTCAAAATGACTTCATGCTGTCACCTTTGAGTGCTGTTTAAAGAAACTGATAGATTTTACAAAATAAAAGCATATTTTTGTTTATTATTAGTTGAAGAAACTACATCTTCAGAAGTAGGTGACATTTGTCAAATGTACTGAAACTCTGGATACAAACTAACTTTGACTGAAAATTACAAATCATACATAATTACATGAGGTAACTTGTAAACAGCTGTACTCATCAGCCCAGAATGGGAATTAGCATTCATAATTTGTTTACCACTCTTGTTGCCCAGGTACATCTGCACCAGAGAGTCCCAGACAATTTGACTGCAGGTCCCGAGAGAAGGAGACATTTTTCTGCTGGTGGGAGCCAGGCTCTGACGGAGGGTTGCCGACTGAATACCGCCTCTTCTACGAGATAGAAAAGTCAGTATATTCTACATATTTTGATATTTTTGTCTTGAATCAGCAGGTCACAGTTCAGACAGACGGTGGGAAAAAGGGGAGTGGCATATGGCACAGTTTCTCAGTTGGGGTTTATACTCTCTGTATATTTTGTTTGTTTTCGCCACAAGGCCACCAGATGGCCCTTAGAGTTCCCGATACGTTTATCAGCTACAATGATGACAGTAAGATACACTTTTAGTTGCTCCTTAAACACAATAAACTACTAAAACCACCAAGTTCTTCTGTGGGTAAAACATGAGCACATATTTTATTGGTGAATGAGTTCACATCCTCATTTAAAACCCTGAACTCACCTGTGAGAGCT